TCTTCAAATAAAATCGCTGATCTTCTCTTTAGTTAGGGTCATCCGGCTCGAAGGACCATGTACGGAACCAGGGTTGATGTGGATGGACTCAGGAAAAATATACTCGAACACGGTTTTAAATTAATAAACTTTAATGGGTGCTAACTACAGCAGTTAAGTATAGCAAGTGCCTCCTTTTGTGAAGCAGTCATGCTCGCAAAGAGAGAGGCGGCTCACGCCCCAGCAGCCGCAACTGGCGACACTACGGGCGTCGGGGATCGAGGGACGATGTCCGGCCACCGTAAGCAAGGGCCTGCGGTCGGCGAGTAAGGGCAGCTCGCCGCCCGACCAGAACCAGGCCCGAGCGTACGGCGCGTAGCGTTCCGCGCGCGCCCAAAGAGCCATTCGACCACCACAGACGGGGCCTAAAAGGGCTGATGTTCAGCCGGGGTTGCGGGGTAAGCGCAATGAGGTACCGCGACCTCGGCACAGAGCAGGAGAAGGAACAGGGGGGTTTTAGTCAGAAAGAGTCTGACACTCCCTCCTGCCCGGCCCTGGGCGGGAGAAGTCATTTGATGATTTTCCCCTCACAAAAAAAACCCACGATTTAGGAAACAATACAAGTGTGGGTCATAGTTAAACAAAAACAAAATTGTATTATTATTAAAACAAATAAATTAGGGTTCAGATGTATTTGGTGAACTAACCTTTAACGACCGCCATACTTAATATTTTATGTACCAAGACGTACATAAATAAATCAATAATAAAATATAACCATTCGATAGCTACGAAACTACAGTTTTTTATTGTATTCTGCGTCAAATGTTAACGAAAGTTATTCTTTTAGTATTTTATGTTAGAACAGTCTTGTTCTACAGGACATCTAAATGTTTACAACCTAATGAGCAGTTTTCTCTGTGCGGTTGGAGATGTCCTCCTACCTGCGTTAATTTGAGGTTGTTAGCATCAGGTAAGTTTTAAACAACTCTTAATTTACGTCCAAGAGCCATGTTTCGTTCCTAGTTAGCTAAGTGTGGGAGAGCCATGCTTCGGCACGAATGGGTTGGCTCGACCGGATTGATACCACGGCCTTACAGAAAACCGGCGTGAAACAACCATAGCATTATGTTTCACTGTGTGAGTGAGGTTATCGGAGGCCCAATCCCTAAATCTCCAAAACCCTAATTCCTAAAAGGTTGGCAACTCATTCATAACTCCTACGTTGCGGGTGTCCATGGGCAGCGCTGATTGCTTACTATAAGGTAATCCGTCCGCTAGTTTGCCGACTTACTTCATAAAAAAAAAGTAAATTACTACATTGTGTTGCGTACGAGTTAGACTACCTGAGGTTCAATCGTACACCGATTCCTCCTCAAAGACTTCTTTGGTGTTGCATGGATCCATGGGCGGCTTCGATTGCTTACCAGCAGATAATACATATGATCGTTTCCCGTTTTTTGTAGTAATATTATGAAGAGGTAAAATTTGTAATTTGTATTTTTTTATGTTGGGGGTAATCTTAGGAACAAAGATATTTAGATAAATAATTATTTCCCGCGTAATTTATGTTGTTAATATGAAACGCGAAAGTTTAAAAGATAATCTTAGGAACCGCTCGCTGGTCAGATTTCCAAAATTATTTCACTGATACATATAGCTACAATGTTCTTAAGTGCTATAAAACATTTAAAACATCAATGAAACAATTTAACAATAAATTTATTTTTGCAAAGAGGCCGTCCGTAATACGGCACTTTTACACGTTAATTTATATGTGAAAAACTGGTAGAAGGAGTCACTCCATTCCGTTCATCCCCATAGGAGTAAGGAGGAAGAGAGTGACAAGAGGAGTTTGTCATAAACTTTATAATTGGCAATGTACTACTCTATACTGTCTAAATGTAATTATAATAATTATTTATCAGAGGATGGCAGATGTCCATCAATATGGGACTGCCACGTCGGATGCCGATGTTCAGCCGGCTTCGTGAGGGATGAGTACTCAAAAGGATGTGTTCTGGTGCAGAATTGTCCAGGTAAGACTATCTTTAATATCGAAACGTTACATTTGAAAACTGTTTAAATTCATTAAATGTTCATCACATCATTGTTCGAGTTAAAGTTAAATAAACGACTTAAAGTATGACTTAATTAAAAGAAAATTTGACATATATCTTTATCTATATTTAACTAGATACTCTAGCCTATAGCACTCAGGGACATTGAAGCTATCTATCAGTGAAACAATTTTGGCCATTCGACCAGCGGTTTCAAAGGTTACCCCCTACATACAAACTTACAAATTTTACCTCTTTATAATATTAGTATGTATAAATATCATACCGCTGAAAAGTTTGTTTTAGAACGCTTTTATCTCCAGAAGCATTGGTTTGAATGGAACAATTATTTTTGTGTTGGATAGTCAATTTATCGAAGAAGGCTATAAACTATAAAATATCGCGTTACGATGAATAGCAGTCAAGTTTCGAGTAAGACCTGCGCGGGAGTTTTACAACTGTATAATGTTAGTTCACATGTAAATAAACACTTCAGACAAGTGTTTAAGAGAGAGTTTCCCAGTTTTTTGGGAATCCCAAATGAACGTCAAGAATCTTTCAATAACATATTTACCTAATACTATAACTAGCACAGTTAAAATGTGGAGCAAGCATGCCAATTACTAATACAATTTATTTATCGCATGGTCTTGTAAAAATATTATGTCGTGTCTGCATTGAATTAATTCCGCGAATGGTTCTAAAGAATCTTGATTGTGAAATATTGCAACAGGTATGCAAAACAAAATGTGTACCTTGGAATGTAAATAAAATGACTGAGGAGACCATCACGCCTTGATTTAAAGTAATAAGTAGAGAAAATATTATTTCAGAAAGGGATATTATCGTATGACTGGGAGAGCCAAGCTTCGGCACGAATGGGTCGGCTCGACCGGAGTGATACCACGGCCTCACAGAATACCGGCGTGAAACAACCACAGCATTGTGTTTCGCCGTGTGAGTGAGGTTACCGGAGGCCCAATCCTTCCCCTCCCCAAATCCCTCCCCAAATCCCTCCCCAATCCCTAAATCGCCCAAATCCCCGATACCCATAAGGTCGACACTCGTAACTACTCTGTTGTTGCGAATGTCCATAGGCGGCGTGATTGCTCACCATTAGGTAATCCGTCTTGTCGTTTGCGGACCTACAATATCCCATCCCATCGGTAACGGGAAGAGCCCAAGCCGGTGGAAGAGAGAAAGGAATCTCCGGATAATTTGCACTGTGTCTAGAAGTACCGCTTTCTACATTAGGTTCTTGACCCAATCATATAACATAAGTCTGCTCAGGTATTGGTCGAGGCTTTTAGCCATGAGGCTACATACCACATGTCGACAATTATACCAGAGCCATGCTTCGGCACGAATGGGTCGGCTTGACTGGAGTGATACCACGGCCTCAGAGAATACCGGCGTGAAACATCCACAGTGTGCGTCGTGCCGGATCTTCGTGCCGAAGCATGGTTCTCCTACAATTATAACAATGGCTTATACCGTTTAGCAGGGAGTGGCCCAGTCACTGCGCCAGCCAGTCGTAGAATATCATATATACTTATATATATATTTGATTAGGTATTGAGTATAAGACACTAGGGATTTACAGGGAGTAGTCGTGGTGGCCCAGATATTAAACGGCACTCGTTTCTCATGCATGTGAGTTCAGATGCGAAACCTCATCATTATCAGCCTATAAGTGCCCACTGCTGAGCAAAGGCTTCTTCTCACAATGAGAAGGTGTGAACATTAATCACCACGCTTGCTCAAGGCGGATTTGCGATTTCAAACTTATAAAGTCCAGGTTTTCCTTCACCGTTTATCAGTGGTCTCTAAATAATCTTAGAAATACATATAGGTAACTCGGAAAAAGTGCAAAATACATATACAAAATACAAAAAATCTTTATTTCTTTAACAGAATTTTCTTCTTATAACTAGTTGCTGGATTCTCCTTTTAAACATGTAAAGTGCGAAACCTAGGGAGTACCAATGCGACCTTTTATCGAGCTATATGTACTTTCTATGATTATTTAGACACCATTGATATACATAGGTACGCGGTGTACGGCGAAGGAAAACGGTGTGAGGAAACCTGGACTTATAATTTCTATATATTATTATATGTTTTAAATCGCCAATCTGCCTTGAGTAAGCGTGGTTAATTGATTTGATTGATTAATGCTCGAACCTTCTCCCTGTGAGAAGAAGCCTTAATTGCTCAAGCAGTGGGCACTTATAGGCTGATGATGTGAGGGATTTAAAATATACATGTTTGAAGAAGAATGTTTAATTATGCGTAAATTTAATGTTTTTTTTAAAACCCCGTTAGCACAGTGGCTAGGTGACTGTCAACTGTACAACGTGTAATGGGTTCAATCATTAATTGCGGAACATAACGATTCACTATAAAAAATAAAGAAATCAAAATTATCCTGTTTATATTATCCTGATTATACACAGTAGGTTAACCAGAAAATTCATAATATTTAAAAAAGAGGATGGTTTTTCAATGTGCTATCAATTTCTGTAGTAAACATATTCTTTGTATACTAGTAAACTATTCGTCACACAACTGGCGAGAGATATCAGGTTTTAAAATTTCGGAATGGATTTAAATTTTATGTAATTATATTTAATCCTTTTTTGTGCTCCTTGGAATTATGTTTGTGTCACACATTCGCTCGCTGTTAGGTACATGGGCTTTAAAACATAAAAACCTTACATAGTTCTGCCTAGCCATTTGGGGAAAACATGTGACATAGTACCTACATAATAAATTATGTGAACCTAATTCCGTGTACTTTGACAAGATAAATTGTTTGAATTTGCAAAAATATCTCGGTCAAGTACTTGTTTAGTGTACTTGTGTAGATTGCAAACTAAGGAGTAATATTGATCAAAACGTCATGAACAAACCGTATATAAATATTACTGTCTCACTGGTATTGGAGAGCACACAGTCACAATGAAAGCTGTATTATTATCTGGTGTATTTGCCGTCGTCGTCCTGATGGTAGCGGGAGCCCCTGCTACCACAGAGGCGGAACTCCAGCAGACCATGACCGAGCAACAAATGGAGGACTTCCTCCGGGAGCGACGAACGCCATATCACGGTCAAGTGGTGTCATCCTGCGGCCACTTACCCACGACGTCGTACGGAGGTGAATCATACAACCATGGATACCTACCACATTCCGTGCCTCATTACGGATACCCATCCCACTACCGCACCGTGGAAGACCCAGAAATGATGCAGTTTTCTGACATGGACCACTTCATGGCCGGCCAAATGACCGGACATGTTCCTATGGCGAGACTAGGAGGATACGGCGCTGCAGCTAGTGTTTCACCCATCGCTGGTATTGGAGGACGAGTGCTGAGTCAGGCGGGGGCTGGCACTGCCCTGGGCCTGTTCCCTAACGCGAACGTGGGAGGATGCGGCGTGCCCCTATTGTTCAGCTGCTCACCATCAATAGTGTCGGGCCAATTGGTGCAGTCAGCTGCAGCTCAGAGCCACGCTGCCCCAGCCTACTCTGCTCCCACAAACTCCTACAGGATGGTGGACGAACCAGTTCAGCATCGCGCCCTTGAACAGCATGAAGACCTACTCTCCCACGAGCAAGCCGCGATGAACCACGAAACCAGTCAGGTTATGCACCAATGATGGAACCTACGGTGTAGGTACTAGCATAAGATAGTTGTAACAATTATTTTAATAAAAGTATTGATATTATTTAACAATGCTTTATTTATTTTATTTCTAAACCAAACTTTAAAATGTGTTTTAAATTCAATTCTTTGATATTCTGTTACCAATCAAATCAAATTTTCTAGCAAGTATTCATAGACTTCATTCTTGCTACTTTTGATATTGTACAGTAATTATGTATAGTAGAAAAGCAACCTTATAGTTCACACAATCTAATGCGATTGTGTATAAGTTATAAGACTGTAAGATATTATAGTACACTCAAAAATAAACACCCTATTGGGACTAAAGTATCTATTACCTTAAGTTGCGATGTTACTTTCTCAAGTTTTGTAATGTTTTTATTGACTTTTAAATCCATTGTAATTCAGTTCATTAGAGATATCTTTGCCCAACAGAATTAAAACCGCATTTCAAGGCCAAGCTATTACGAAACGCCGAGCTTAATTTCCATTTAATAATTTATTTATACATCTCAGATAATAAAATCCATAAAATTGCAAACATTCATTCGAATTAAAATAATCAGCGATACATAAAATAAATAATAGGTAACGTAGCTGGTTACGAAAGATCAGTTACGATGGTGGATCAAAGGAAATTGTCAGTACAATAAACTCTATATTGTACCTATCTGTACACATTTTTTTTACACATTTTGAATTACCTGATGTTAAGCAATCAGCGCCGCCCATGGACACCCGCAACGGAGGAGTTACGAGTGCGTTGCCGACCTTTTACAGATTAGGGATTTGGAGATTTAGGGATTGAGGAGGGATTGGGGGTGGGGAAGGATTGGGCCTCCGGTAACCTCACTCAGACGGCGAAACACAACGCTGTGGTTGTTTCACGCCAGTCTTCTGTGAGGCCGTGGATCACTCCGGTCGAGCCGACCCATTCGTGCCGAAGCATGGCTCTCCCACACTTACACCATTACATCATTATCATTATCATCATTATACCTATGTATATGTATAACTAGCGACCCGACCCAGCTTCGCACGGGTGCAATGCTGATTCTATCTGAACATGGAGGAACACCGGGTTAGTTTCTAGTCAGTAAGAATCTGACAGTAGGCACCTAGTATTTTCAAAATCGATACCAAAAAAAAATACTCATTACGTCAAAATGACCTTTGGACCCTTTTGAGTACAAGACTTGCATGGTTGGATTTTCAGTTTGATTATTTGCAATATGCTAAAACTTAATAGAGTATATACTAAAATATAATGTACAGGCACTTAACAGAAATTAACTATGCACAGTTGGTGCGGTGGCTGGGCAACTGGCTGTCGCGCAACGTGTCGCGGGTTGGATTCCAACAACTCTGTGATTAACAAATTGTTGTTCTGGTGTTATGTGAATGTAAGGTTATATGTTTTTATAAACCCAGACACGACACGGGAGAAAATGCCAATGTGAGGCAACGCTTATGAAAAAAAAAACACAAATGATGACAAAAAATCATTTCTTCTCCTGCTCTAAGCCGGGGCCACGGTAAAGTATCTTCCCAGCTGTATATCGACCCTGTTGTGCTCCATCTGTGGTGGTTTATTGGCTCTTTGAGGCGCGCACGGAATGCTACGCGATATGCGCTCGGGTCTGAACTGGGGCCCAAGTCTACTATTTTCAAAGTGTTATCATTCCTACACGATTCTATTGTCATTTTGCTCAAAGTTTGTAATCTGTTAATTCAAAATGGCTGATCATTGGCGTTCGGCGATGTCGTAGGTAATAGAATTATTGCACGAGATGTCTTGTAACCAATTATAAACAATAACTGCACATCTCAGAATACAGAACAAACCAGAAGGCGTCATCGCGCTTCAAACTAAAGCAACTAAAACCATTCTCAACTAGAATAGTATGAAATTTCTACGATTAGTCAATTTTGGCACGTGTCATGTCGTGACGTATTTACGAGTATCAATTTTAATTTCATTATGCCGTCTTGTGTTATTACTACGAGTAAAAATGCGACTGGAATTACGAAAAAAGTGTATAAGATTACATTTCATCTGCAAGCATCGACTGCAATAGTATATTTAATTAATTATTGAATTTTTTTATCGATTTATTTTTCTTTGAAAATGATGCGGCCATTTTGTTAGTGTTGTCATTTTTGGTGAAAATTTTACCCACTTATTTATTTGTTGTGGGTTATATTTTTATCCATTATGGAGCCTATGTCACATTAGTTTCCCTGACAAAAAAATAAATACAAATCATACAAACGGTTAGATTAATTTTGGAAACCATCTAGCCAGAGCATAGTTTGCTCAATTCACTTTGAAGAGATATATTTATGACAAAGGTGGTTTGAAAACAGTATATCCTACTAAGATATGTCTATACTAATTATAATGCTAAAGCGTTTGTTTGTTTGTTTGCTAGAATGCGCTAATCTCAGGAACTAAGTAAAGTAAGTAGACTTCTAATCTTTAGTTCCGAGTCTAAAGACAATATATATATAAAAATATAAACCAGCAAAAGGGAACGCAATAAAACCTTTGTACTTATTGAAGCTTTGTTTTATTTGTTGTGTATAGTAGGTGTAACTAAGATTTACACAGTCAGGAATCGTGAAATGTGTGAACAACTAGTCTGTTGCATTTATCGTAAGTTTACCTATTTTGTTGAGTTTACCTATATTTTACCCTCCCGTTGTAAAATTACCCCAAACTAAGGGAATTGTTCCACTGTCGGCAACACTAGGCGGGTGGGAAGTGCGGCAGGCGGGGGGATTGACGTATTGTTTTTGGACACATTTGACGACATGTAATTATGAGTGAACGCGGCTTCTGGTTTGTTCTGTATTCTGAGCTGCACATTCATATTCTAAACGTAAATCATTGAATATAGGAACTGACATTTTTTTATTAATTTACCGCATTACGTCAAATATTCATTTGTCATTATGTACGAGATTACCGTAAGTCAAAATGACGCTATCGTGTTAGTAGATTACCAAACTTGTCAAAATCGACAATTTTGAAACCAATGATTTACTATTCTGACACTATTGTAATAGCAGACTCGAGGCCCAGGGTCGGGTGGCGAGTTACCCTAGCTCGCTTTCTGCAGACCTGCCCTTACGGTGGCCGGTGATCTTCGCTTGAGTGAAAGCTGGGTAGATTATAAATTGTGGTATTTGTGTGTACTACAGCTTACCTCCACTATTATATTAAAAAAGAAGAAAATCACGTTTCATCAAAGTCGATTGCAATACATTTAGCACGTGTCTATAAATATCATGTTATCTGAATAAGACCATTACTATCTTACAGACTAAAAGAAAATGGAGATTACGTTCATATTAATTATTTCTCTTGCCTTCTGTTATACGGCTCCAATCGAAACCATAAAGGATTTAAAAGAAATTGATACAGATGGAAATGAATCATCGTTTAACATATTTCGGGTTGAAGAAATCGTAAATGAAATTCGTCATGGATACAGGGAGATTGTCAATGCACAAGAGACTAACCAACGCCCGATTGAGGAAATTAACACAAAGGATCTGTTTTTCCAACAAAAATTGCCCACAAATAACAAAGATCTCAAAAACCCCGACAATGGAAGCGCCACAGTCAAAATTGTTGATGAAAATCTAAACACCGATTTTGAGCTCGCAAACGACAGAAAAACAATGACCTTATCAGAATTAATTGTTCCTTTTATTTCTACAAATAATTCAAGGAGAAAAAGATTTATTTGGATGGCATCAGAACCTGCCATCAGCCATTATAAAGTGTCCAATGATTACCCAGAAGTGCATAAAGGCCATCGTCACGTAATATCCAAAGATTATCCAGAGCCGAATCTAGTACGCATAATTCTTCGTAAAAAGAAATATTGAACATACATACCTATGTATTTGTGTACTTATTAAAATGTACATTTTTTTTTGTGTACAATATGCATAATTCTATGTAGGTTAAATAAAAGTTGCTTGATGGATTGTCTGTTGACTTTTTTATTCAATTATAACTTAATGTTGTCCTTGAATTATATCCGCCGTATTGGTTGAATGGTAACACGTGCGGCTGCCGAGAAAAATGCCTCGGGTTGTCTTTGCTTTTCATTTTTTTAGCGACATTACGGCGTTTTGTTTTGATTTCTATTTGTGGAAAAAAACTCATTTTTTTCTTATGACAAAACGTTGCCCTACACTATGATTTTCTCCTGTGTCGTGAGTGCGTTTACAAACATACAATTTCACATACTATAAACTTAAAAACAAAAACACATACTTACACACCATATCCAGACCCGAAACAACAATCTGTGGATCGCACAAAGAGTTAGTCCGTGAGGGAACTCGTGCCAGCCAGTTGCCCAACCACCGCGCCAACCGTGCAGTCAAACTCGTGCAGTGCCCAACCCCTATTTGAATGGTACTTGGCATGGGCAAGAAAAAGGGATGGAGCTATAAAAGGTGTATTGTATAGCTCTATACCTCTTTCGGGCCCGGAAGATTGACGCTTTAAGACGTCATGGTAGGCCTACTGGTCAGTCATTGCGGCCATCACTGCTTATCCGTGCATGTTTAAAAGATGTTGATGTTATAAACGACGAAATAACTTTATTTTAGTTTTCCCTGAATAGTGGTGGTGGCCCGCTTGTATGCATAAGTTAACGGCTCTTCTCACACGTAGAAGGTTTGAGCATTAATCACCACGCTTGCTCAAGCCCGATTGGTGATTAATGCTTCTCCGAGTGCAGTGGTCACTTATAGGCTGATGATGAATCACACTCTTTTTTTTTTCTTTAAATAAAAACGTGGCCTTCACACCTTTTTTTTTTCTTTAAATAAAAACGTGGCCCCACATTAGGATTTTCTCCTGTGTCGTGGGTGCGTTTACAAACATACAATTCACATGCACATCACACCCAGACCTAGAACAACAATCTGTGGATCACACAAAGAGTTGTTCCGTGCGGGAATCGAACC